GAAGTGGTGAAGGAAGTATTAAAGGCGAGTTGTTCGGAGTGTGGGATCTGTTTATGGCCAATAGATTAAGGTATCTACAATCCTAAAATGCTGTGGGAAGGGACGAAAACAGGTCCAGGGGGATTAACGTCCTTTCCACCAACGCACGCACACTCGCAAGCAGGGCCTTACCTACCCCACGGTGCGTGACCCATGTGTGTGTGTGTAGGTGTGTCTCTGTGTGTGTGAGGGCTGTAATCCCTTAGAGTCCTCCGGCTACCTCACGGACTATAAAATACTATGGGAAGGGAGGAAAACAGGTGCGCGACGTAGGAAGTGGTGAAGGAAGTGTGGAAACTGTTTATGACGATTAGATTAAGGTATGTACAATCCTAAAATGCTGTGGGAAGGGAGGAAAACAGGTCCGCGATGTAGGAAGTGGTGTAGGAAGTAGTAAAGGCGAGCTGCTCGGAGTGTGAAAACTGTTTATGACGATTAGATTAAGGTATCTACAATCCTAAAATTCTGTGGGAAGGGAGGAAACCAGGTCCGCATCTTAGGGAGTGGTGAAGGAAGTAGTAAAGGCGAGCTGTTCGGAGTGTGGGAACTGTTCATGATGATTAGATTAAGGTATCTACAATCTTAAAATGCTATGGAAAGAGGGGGAAATGGGTCCGCGACGTAGGAAGAGGTAAAGGAAGTAGTAAGGTGACCAGTGTGGAGTTCAGGAACTATGGAAACCGTTTATAGCAGTTGGATTAATGTATCTGCAATGCTGAAATGCCATGAGAAGGGATGGAAGTATGCCCACAACATAGGAAATGATGAAAGAAGTAGTAAAGGCTAGCAGTGTGGAGTGAGGGGAATGTTTGTGGCAATTAGATTAACGTGTCTAAATTACTAAAATGCTATGGAAAGTGATGAAACAGGTCCACGTAGGAAGTGGCTTAGGAAGTAGTAAAGTATGAGCATAGTGTGAGAACCACATAGTCACATAGTCGCCATTGTTACGTAGGTACTTATTGAATTAAATAATTATAACACATAATTGTAAGAAGTAAAAATAATGTCTTGTTTTTATTCATTTCTCAAACTTAGAATTGTAAATATTAAAATGCTATGGGAAGAGAGGGAAACAGGTCCAGGACGTAGGGGGTGGCTACTGAATCCGCCAAAATGGTAGAATCTGAAACTGTAAGGGTTGATTTCTAGACTATCACTAGCTGGAACTGTAGCGCGCTATTTGAGAAAAAGCTAATGACTATCCCAGAGGTTTTAAACTTAAAATGTAAATACAGGCTTCCGAAAAGGCCTAAAATGACATATCTGTGTTTTTACTCTTCTTCATTACAAAAACAATGTGTAGCCAAACTAATTACCCTATATTATTTAAACCCACGCAAATGTTGTTGTCTTCTTTTTAAACTGTAGATTAAAACGATTAGGAAGCAGGAGTCGACACATATTTTCGATACATGCAATCGTTTACAATCGAAATTTACAACTGAGTTGACAACAAAACAGCTGATTTTTATTCCATAGAGGCTAAAACAGATTTTAATTCCCTAAAGAGAAAAAATGTTACTTTAGACCAGCAAAGCATGCATTAAAACGACTGTTTTTAATGCAGTATGACAAAAACAATATAATATGAACCCTTGATGACTCCGCTCAATTTTATGGATGCCTCTGCGAACGCCACCTAGTTTAAATACCCCCCACCGCAGCAAACCTGCAGACTAAGCGAATTTCCACTTGTCTGATTACATTTTTAATAAAATATTTCCATAAATAAGACATATTTATTCCCAATTTAAATAGCATTAGATTTAACGAGTGCTTAGGTTTGCTGCTACGGGGAAGGTAAAAAGTGTTTTTTTGACCAAACGTCAATAGTATAGTATGAAGTAAACAAATTTGCCAAATTATATCAACATAATATCCATAAACAATTAAACTACAACAGTTTTCATTTTCTCCATAATAATAACATGGGAATTTTAAATTTACACTTTTTTAATAACCATAAAACCCCGTTCCCATAGTCCGATCATGCTGGTTCGTAAACTCGTTCAAATAAATGTAGGTTTACACGTTTATACCAAATTTAATCAAAATCGGATAATTTTTGTTCGAGTTATCGGGCTAATTAATGGACACACACACACATATATATGAATTTGAACGGATGGTGTTTTTGGCCTCTAGGGACCTCAAAAGGAAAAAGTAAATCCGTCCCTGGTCCTTTCTTACCATGAGACCTACGCTAATAGCTTTGGACCTACCTATAATATGGGGAATTCGCTAATAAAAATAAAATCTTTCGAATAGGCATAAGGCAGGCCCGCACCACCCGCAGGGCCGTCCCTAGGGTTAGCGGCGCCTGGGGCAAATGTGGTCGGCGTGGACGGCGTTATCATCGTTATGACTCGCGGTCACAGCGGAATCGTCGGTATGACTCGCGGTCACAGCGTGATCGTCAGTATGACTCGCGGCCACAGCGTGATCGTCGGTATGACTCGCGGTCACAGCGTGATCGTCGGTTTGACTCGCGGTCACGGCGTTATCATCGGTATATATGACTCGCGGTCACGGTGAAATCGTCGGTATGACTCGTGGTCACGGCGCGATCGTCGAAATGACTTCGGCTCCTGCGTTCGTGGAATTACCGTGAACATCTCTCGTGATATCAGCGTCATTTTCACTCGCGAAGCATCAAAATTGCCGATGATCGAATCAAATCCCGTCCCGAAAAATTCCAGAATCAAATTAAATCCCGTCCCGAAAATCGGGAATATTTTTTTCCCGAAAATTTCCCGAAATTTCGGAACCCGTGCGTTGATACCAGTAGCCGCTGCGCGGCGCCCCCTTAGCCGCGGCGCCCCCCCCCCCAGCTACGGCGCCCGGGGCAGCTTGTCCTGGTTGCCCCCCCCCCCTTCGGACGGCCCTGACCACCCGAGCCAGAGGCGCTGCTAAATTGCTATACTAATCACCTGATCACTATGTACACTGAAGTGAAAATTACTATCCTGTAATCATTTTTATGTTTTGGCGACTTAAATCATGCGTATGTGTATCGTGTATACGTTGCTTTAATTTAATAAATTTAAGGACATACATATTTGGACCGGCAATTGTTTTACTTTGAAAGTACATTTTTTTAAAGAATGAACTGATATTTTTGAGCGGAGCGAAGTGAAGCAAGTGAAGCTCTTTATACTACAGTCCTGCTTTTGTTTTACAAATAGGTACTCCTCCTGAACGGCTGAAGTGATCCGCACAAAATGTAGAACAATCATAGTAACCAACCATGGGTAGGTATAATTATGAAATATGGTACAAATCGGACCACAGAGCTTTTCCTTACGTGAATTTGAACTTTTGGAAATTTAACATGGGGCCTTATGGGTTAATATTGGTTGCCATCATCGATCTTTAATATTACTACCGTATATATTTTAATATTACTGTAATAATATGCTATAGTAATAATAGAGGTCGATGGTTGCCATATGGCATTATTTACGAGAACATTTTTTTACAGCATTTATTTCTGGTTTATTTTATACATTATTCACAGAAGTGAAGTGTTAACAAAATAAACAATAAATTAACAATAATAACATCGTGGGTTCGCTCAGACCTGAGACACCCTGTATTCCTGTAACATAATTAATAGAGAAATATAATATTTAATCTTCTTTAGGCTTCATTCATCCAATAGATCTTGAGGAAGCCTTCGATGTAGCCTCCTGTACTCAGTTGCTTCACCAAGATGAAAAGTGACACCAGCAGGAACATTGTTTAAAAATTTCAGAAATTTTGATGTGGTTTTTTCAATTAAGGCCGAGATAGACTCCACTCCTAGCTCTTCATGTATGTCTGTTTCTAACAAACCAGGGAGCATTTACCGATATTCTTAGAATTTTGTTTTGAATCACTTGAATTTTGGAGAGTTTGTTTTTTTGATATGGCCAATCCCCAGATAGGAGATGCATATGTAATCAAGGGCCGAATTATTGATTTGTAGATTAGAACTGTACAAGCTGGCTTCAGAGTAGATTTCCTATTGATTAAAGGGAAAAGCTTTGCGGCGTGCATAACCTTGGGACAGTTTTAGCGAATTTCCCATATGTGAGTAATAATTTGGTATACCATAATTATGTGAATAAAATAAAATGCCCATTTGCAGTATCGAAACTCAATGGTACATTTGGTTCACGTAAATTAATTGTCCACTTGCAGGATCCAAAACAATGGTCTATTTGTCAAATGGACCGGACCAATCCAAAACGATGGTCCATTATTTGTCAACTGGACCATTGTTTTGGATCCTGCAAGTGGACAATTCATTTTCGTGAACCAAATGTACCATTGAGTTTCGATACTGCAAATGGGCATTTTATTTATGCCCGAGTTTATGCGAATCGGTAAAAAATCAGTTTCCACAACTCACCTAAAACGCACTTCCTGAAATGTGAAACTGTACAAAGAGTGGTTTTAGAAAAGTATTGGATTAATAAGCTAGCTCCGCTCAATAATGCAAATAGACAACTAAACTGCATTGTACACCTAGTTTCGATACCTATATTCTTGAAATTATGTATATAAAACATTTCGAAATTACCTCTTCCTCTTTGTATTAAACATTAGAGTCAATTTTCCACTATCCTCCTAGCAGACAATTTTATTTCGAAGTCTGCTCTAGTCTGCAGTCGCAATCGCCGAGAACCGGTTTCATTCAAATCAAAGTGAAAGCATTTCAACAAAACAGCTGGTTCTATGAAAAGAGCGGTTTTAAACAAAGAAAGAACGAAGAAGACAGTGTTTGCGCTGCGCGTCCCAAACCCAAAAAACTACATACTACAACTACTTGCTACTACTTTTTGTAGTTTGAGCGCGTCCGTCCGTCCGTGTCCGGGCTCGTCCTCTCTTCTCCCATCCCATCCGGCATCCATCCTCGTTCGTGCGTGGCCGTGGCCGTGTACGTGCAGTGCTTTCCGTGAGTGAATTGAGTGAAATCGTGCATTGCATTCCCAATTGCGAGTCGCGAGTCGCGACTCTGTAGTCTCTACTGTGGAGGCACAGACTTTATATAATACTTTAATGGTTTCTGTTGTCTGTGGTAGAGGTAGACCGAAGAGCCGAAATGTGGTAAATAAATAATTAATAAAATAAAATGCAGGGCAGGAGGAGCAGGACGCAGCAACTCAGCATTCAGCAAGGCTATATTTAATTTCGGTTCATTGAAAGTTTGCGGAAGCTAGTTACATCCACTTTTATATTTGTTTAACGAGTGCAAGTTGAAAGTTAAGTGACACGGAAATGGAGGAGAAATACGGGAATAAGATTCATTTGAATCTAGGTGAGTTGCCTCAAGTAGAAAGTTGACCTAGGCCCTAAGTTAATATACTAGCGTCTCTTGGTCCTGGTCAAAAACCGATGAGAATCTGCGAAGAAGTAAAGGGTTGTGGAAGAGCCCCTCACGCCGACCTAAGAAACATTATAAAATTAATTATATAATTTTTTAGTTGCATTAGCCTACCATTTAACCCTCCAAGTGTCTCTAGTTTTATACCTATATCATTTTGTATGGAAAATTATGGGCTTCAATGTAACAATCGGCATTAAGCTATCTTTGTAAAATTTTGTTTTAGAAACAAGTATTAACAACAAAATGTTACAAACATTTTGTTCCAAACCCCAGTGTAAACGGGGCTTTAAGCAAAATGTTGATATCCAACTCCATTAAGTTATAATTATCGTAGGCATACAATCAATCAATCAATCGTTGAGATGGGGACGCCACCTAGGTGCGTATTTTAACCCAAATATGAGTGAAGTATGAGTGTAGAATGGTGTGTGATGACCTGTGTAGCTTTGTTACCGACTAAGATCAGCGGTTTCATTAGTCAGGATCATTTATTTAAAGCCCAATGATCAGGAACAGCTGGGCCCAGTTTCGAACCATCAAAAAGCTACTGACTTTTCTCAGGATCGAACCGGCGACCTTTTGATTGCTAGGCGAGCACTATAACCACTCAGCTACCCAGCAAGTTTAGTTAGGGTAGCCTAAGTTAATAGTTATTGATCAAATTAATAAGTTAGTTATGGTACTTTAATGTGTCTATAATATGATGGAGGCGGATGTAAAATATTCTCTAATACTAAGTAGTATTCATAGCAGTGAAGGCCAGTTGAGCGGAGCGATCATGTTTCATGGTTTTTAATAAAGCAATACCGTAAATGAAAAATGTTTACCTATAGCCTAGATATAAGTTAATACAAAGTACAAATGTTCCCACACTCCGCACTGCTAGCCTTTACAAATTCCTTCACCACTTCCTACGTCGTGGAGCTGTTTCCCTTCCCATAGCATTTTTTTAGGATTGCCGATACATTGATCTAACTGCCACAAATGGTTCCCACACACCACACTGCTCGCTTTTACTACTTCCTTCACCACTTCCTACGTCGTGGACCTCTTTCCTTACCTTTCCATAGCATTTTAGGATTGCAGATACATTATTAACTGCCATAGATGGTTTGCAACCTCCGCACTACCAGCCTATACTACTTCCTTCACCACTTCCAACGTGTGGACCTGTTACCCTCCTTTCTCATAGCATTTAAGTATTACCGGCTCATTAATCTAACTGCCACCAATGGTTCCCACACCCCACACTGCTTGCCTATATTACTTATTCCTTCATCACTTCCCACATCAAGGACCTGCTTATTCCCTCGCTTCCCATAGGTAGCATTTTAGTATTGCAGATAGGCCTACATTTATGTAGCCACAAACGGTTCTCACACTCCAGACTGTTCGCCTTTAGTTCTTCCTTCACAACTTCCTTTGTCGTGGACTTGTTTTCTGTTATGTTAGGGTATGTGATTTCTCTTGTACTGTCAAATATTTCATCAGCTGTTTTATTTTTTAAGACTGTTTTGTGTAGCCTATGTAATGTTTACAGTTTAGTGTTAAATACTCTCATTTAAAATGTAGCAGATTTCTAAGTTGAATAAAACCATATAAATTTGGTTTCTAAACAGTTCTTTTCACAGGCTAACAATTTTCACAGGCCTCGCAATATTCAATTCAATACAGAAATGTAGTAAAATACTTGGTACCGTCAAATGGGGCTACTTTGAACATGGGGGCTACTTTGAACAAAAACACTAAAATTATAAAATCATGATTTTTACTATGTTAGAACTGAAAAAAAAATTGAAAAAATTCCCTATTGTAGTTTGTACCTTTTAGTAATGTATTAAATACAATTTTTAAAAAAGGAATTAATTTTTTCAAATTTTTATATATACATAAAACGAACCCTATTTTTTGCGTTTTTTTATGTGTTTAAAATTGTGTCTGTCTCCGGTCACAAAATGAATATTTTTTAACACAGCATTTTTTTTAGGAATATTTTATTGATTTTTAACCTAGTCCTTAAATTTCAAGAAGCTATTTATAAAATAAAAAATAGTAAATTTTTTAAAAATTACCTCTGCCTTTTTTATGTAAAATGGGGCTACTTTGAACGCTATTATTTTTGGGGGCTACATTGAACCTCATTACAGTCTGTCTCTACTGTCCTTTTTTGTAGCTAAATCATGTGTTCTTCTGTTTGTTTTTCATTCAAACATAACCTACAAATACCATGTGCAACATTCACATTGTGTTTTTATATCTGATTCAGGTTAAGTTTGTTTGTCTCAGTTAAGTTGTTATTAAATTAGGACAGTTTTGTAAACAAGTAACAATAATGGTTAGAACATATAAAAAGAAAGTGGGTGCAAGATCTTACAGAAATTACAGTGATGAACAGTTGCAAGAAGCAGTCAAAAAGGTTGCAAGTGGTGAGGTTAAGTTTAGGGATGCAGTCAAGCAGTATAAAGTGAGTACAGGTACACTTGTAAAATATGTTAGAGCATTTAAGCAAGCTGTAAGGGATCGTCAGGCAGAATCCCAAGTTGAATCTCAAGATGAAAATTCCGAACAGGAAGGGGAACAGATTGAGTTTATTGTGAAGAGAAAGAAATCTGGCCACCCAGTAATTTTAAGTAGTGAAGATGAAGCGTTAATAGTCGACAATCTCATTGTATTAAGTGAATGGGGATACCCGCTTGACATATTTCAATTGAGATGCCTTACTAAATCTTATCTAGATGCCCGTGGTCTCACAATACGGGTATTCAAGGACAATCTACCAGGAAGAGACTGGGCACTGTCTTTTTTAAAAAGACACAAACATATCTTAACCCAAAGGATGTGTCAGAACATCAAAGCGAAGAGGGCCAAAACTTCACGGGAAGATATTGAGGAATATTTCGCTAATCTGACAGAAACTTTAGCTGGAGTTCCAAATGGGAATATCCTAAACTATGATGAAACTAATTTGGTAAATGATCCCAAAAACAGGAAAATGATTTTTAAGACTAAGGTTAAAAGGCCTGAAAGAGTCATTAACTACACAAAGTCGGCTTTTTCTGTAATGTTTGCTGTTACAGACTCAGGCGTAACACTACCACCTTATGTTGTATATAAATCGGAGGCAATTTGGAACACGTGGACCGAGGGAGGTCCCCCCGGAGCAAGATATAATCGTACAAAAAGTGGGTGGTTTGACGAAGTGACATTTAGGGATTGGTTTTTCACAGTAGTCGTCCCTTGGGCAAAATCTCGGCAAGGCCCAACTGTCGTCATTGGAGATAATCTATCTTCTCACTTTTCAGCAGATGTTTTAAAAAAGTGCAAGAAATACAAAATAACATTTTGTTGTTTACCAGCAAATACGACACATCTTACACAACCCTTAGATGTTGCTTTTTATGCGCCTCTGAAAAAGCATTGGCGAGCAATCCTCGAAGAGTGGCGTATTACAGCTGGTAGGCACATCGAAAGTCTTCCGAAGGAAGTATTTCCTAAGCTATTAAAGAAACTAATGGTTGCCCTGGAACCAAAAGCAGAAAACAACATCAAGGCAGGATTTGCAAGTACAGGCATCAGACCTTTAAATCCGCAACATGTGCTTGATAAGTTACCATTTCCGGCACAAGTACCCAATATTGCAGTTCCAGGACCTGCAACCCCCGAAGTTGCAGGCTGTAGTGGAACCTCGTCACTTAAACCTGGTACCTCAACCAGTAGTAGTATTTCTCAAACTGTAAGTGACAGTTCTGTGACACCACCCAGAGTAATGGAAAATGTTGTTGTAAGTTTGTTGAGCAAAATGCGTAGTGGTCCAACAACAAAAACCTCCAAAAGGGCAAATTTGTTTGTTAAAGCTGGCCGTAGCATTAGCTACGAAGAATATGAGCAGGCAACGAAACAGAATCCTGCAAACACTACCAAAGCCAAATCAAATGAAAAACAGGACAGGAAAAAAAAGAAACCAACTCGTGACTCTTCATCTAGCGGGAGCTCCGATGGCCACGAGTCAGATATACCATCGGATGTAGAATCGTTCATGGACGTTTCCTTACTCGGCTCTGACCCAGAAGAGGAACCTGAGGTGCAACCTGTGAAGGTATCAAGTTGGGTTATTGTTGAATATGCAATGAAAAAAAGCAAGAAACACTTCGTGGGACAAGTCACAAACATTACCGAAGATGGATTCAGAGTAAAATTCACACGGCAAGCTCTTGGCGGTTTTATATGGCCAGAGCAGGAGGATTATGACAACATTCCTGAACAAGATGTTCTCCAGGTTTTGCCAGAACCCACTACCAACAACAGGGGTATCATGAAATTCAGCAGAATTTCATTTGCTGGGTTGAACTTACAATAAGGCAAACCTGTGTTTCTTGTAAATATCCTGTAAATAGTGAAATTTAGTGATGTGTTAAAAAAAAACTATGAACAATGTGTTAGTTATATATTTTTTTCTTATAAATAAAGTCTTTTAACATTATTTTGCTGATTACTTATCAAGATTAAAGTGACAAGAAACCCTCATTTTATTTAGTTGAAACCTTCAGGACATTTCAGGTACGTTGCTGTGTTTTCTCGAAAAAAAAAAAATTTTGTTTTGTTCCAAACTATTTTGTATTATATATTAAATTGTTCAGAATAACCCCCTCTTTTAAGTTATGTATCAGTTATAGCCCCCAGCCTAATAACATAGCTGCCTCTATGCTTTTAGTATGGTGTATCAAAGTAGCCCCATCTATGGGGCTACTTTGAACGGCCATATTTGAATTTTTTTTCAAGGTAAATCAAATTGCAAATTTTTTTTGTGTAAGATATTTTGATAGTACAAACCTGTGCCATGGTTAAAAAAAATAATTCATCTCAAAAAGTTCTTTAGTATAACAAATGTTTAACAAAATATGTGTTTTTCGTATCAAAGTAGCCCCATTTGACGGTAAGTAAAATGTAGTAAGCCTACCTAGCAGATGCATTTTCACAAGTTTCATCTTCCATCTCTTAGCTTTTAGCCGTTTATCTTGATCTTGCAATAATCTTGCAAGTAGAAGTTGAACTATCTTACACTTTTAACCCTTCCTAGACAGCCATAATATAATATGCTACAGACAACAAAATAAAAAAAATAATAAAAAAATACAAATTATCTTTTTTACATCTGTAATTTGAATAGAATGTTCTAAATAGTTGATCTATGCAACACTTTAGACCAAAATACTTTTTTCTTACTTTATTTTGTTTTTCTTAAAAGTTATTTTTGGTGAACATTTTTTATTCCTCTAGAAAAACATTCCTAGTACATTGGTTAAAGATATATAATTGAATAAAAGACCGTTTTTACTAGGATTAATGTTGTTATATATAATAAACTGTAACAATAGATGTCATAATAATCGGTGGATATATCCGCCTACCGTCCACAAATCCAAAATAGATAGGCGGATATATGCCTCTACCGTTCACTATGCACAAAATGATAGCGGATATATCCGCCTACCGTACGCTCTGCACAAAATTATAGCGGATATATCCACCTACAATCCGCTACCTATGCATAAAACGATAGCGGATATATCCACCTAAAGTCCGGGAAGGGTTAATGATCCATCCGTCACTTTAGTTTTCAAAGGGCTAATAATGTTTTTTTCAGTTCCCAAAAAAGAACCAAGTGATGACTCTCATGTCCCAGACAGTGGACTCCTGAGGAGTTTGCTAAAAAAGGAGGAATCTCCCAGCGACGAAGATGACAGGTAATTTCACAAAGTCACTTTATTTTTTAGCAAATTTCCATAATTATAGAGAAGAAGCTATTACTGTAGATTTCACGATATGTCCTGGACACGGGACCGATATACTTTTTCATTTTGATGTCCCTGGAGGTCAAAAGCACCATTCGCTCAAATTTTTGTGTAGCCTATGTATATATACAGGGTGATTACAAATGTAATAGACAAACTGTATATTAAATTAAATACAAACTGTCTATTTAATCTGTCATCAATCTGTACATATATATACGTGCGTGAACAGGGCCGCGCCGAGGGTAATAGACACCCCAGGGGGCGAGATTTAAATTTGCGTGTCCTTCCCAAAAAAAGGTAGGCCTATTTGGGGGTTTTGAATCAATAGACCCAACGTCCGATATATCAATATCGAACGTTCGGCAAATATTTATTACTAGCTGGCCCGACAGACGTCGTCCTGTCCTAATGTGGTTTTATGTCAATGCTCGTTAATTTTCAAGATGAGCTCGTTCGCATGGCTCAATCACGTCCAGGTTGAAGTTCGTTCGCTACGCTTATTCACCAAAAGGTCTATTACCACGGCAGGTTGGAAAAATGAATTTAAAACAATGTCTATATAATACAATATTTTATTTTAGCTACAGAAATGTAACAATGGGTTGGAAAATAGTTCAAACTAAAAAACTGAAGTTATTAAAGCATTTTACATTACCGTACCTATTACAAAGGTATTACCTATATTTTAGCCCCGTATTATCTTATGGTACCATTTAGGTTAACCCGAATTTCGTTAACCGGGGTTCTTCTGTATTAGCTTATATTTTTTTGTCAATATCTGGTACTGGTATGGTCGTCATTTCAAAGTAAAGTATATTAAACTATTGTTACTTGGTAACACTGACTGTTGTTAGGAAATATTGAATTTAGTTCCTACATCTTTGAAGGCAAGCAATTTGCTACCAAACTAGTCAAACCTTTCGTAAAACTTGACTCGCTCAACTCAAAAATTAAATTAAACTTATTCTTAACTTAATTTAAGTTTATATTATTTTTTACTACAGGAACTCTTGTGCGGAGAGGACCAATGATGCAAATCAACTAAAGTTACACGTAAGTAATAGATGTAACTTCTAATATAAAATAAAGTACAATAGACTCCCTCTGGACACCTTTTAACCCTCCGAGTGTCCATAGTTTAGGCCTTAATGTCCGCCTATTTTTGCCGCATTTGCAAGGTTTTATTAAAACGGATCTGAGAAGCTTAAAACAATGTTAATTCTACTGTTCAATATACCATTTTGTTTGGAAAATCATGGGCTTCAATATCATACATAAAACATAAAGAATATTTGTTTAAAAAAATTTTTTTTGGTAAAAATAAAAATTATTTTGGAATAATTGAAAAAAAAATAAGTTTGCGCTCAATAAAATTGTATAAATTATAGGCCTATAAATATTTGAAAATAGCCACTTTGTTCTAAATTTTATGAGGATTACAAATATATAATAATATAAGGAAGTAGATTTGCAAATAAATAAGTTATGGGCAAAAAACAAATTTCAGTACATAGCGTTTAGCTAAGAATGCATAGCCTAACCATAGCTAGGAATCTGGCTGATAATTTACATCAATATCACTACCCTACTTCTTCAGGATCATCAACCAGCCCTTCAAAATCACTTAAATCTTCTTATAATGCACCACGTATATCACTACTTTTGATTTTTAACACTAAAACAATGATAAATGTAATAAAACATCAGTCATCGGTCCGAGGTTAACCAAGCTGTTTACAAATACGCACGTCAGCTGTCTGCTACAATATTTTTGGAACTAAAATGAATAGCGCTTAGAAACAGACCTCTGGAGAAAGCTTAGAATCTAACAAAAAGAACGATACCTAACTCGATCCAGTTCAATCCGATTCAGTCAGTCATAGAGCCTTCGCCGTAAACGATGTTCGTGTGTCGAAAAATCGACAAGTGATACTACACAAAGTGTGTCGTGAGTCGATTTTCGACAAGTGACGCTTAGAGGGTTAACCGGACATCGGTTTAACCGGGCTACACTCGACGGAAATGACATCTCTTTAACCGGACAATTTTGATCAGCACATTGGTTTAACCAGACTAGATCGACAGGAAGTGGGCGGTACTGTAACGACTGTTCTCATGGGAAAGATTTGAGACCAGTGATCACATGTCTAAATACAATGCTTTCCTAAATTTAAGTTGAAATCATCGTAAACGGTCCATTTTAATGAGTTTTTGGGGACGTCGGCTTAACCGGAAAAACCGTTATCCGGACTGGCCTTGGTCCCGAGGAGTCCGGATTAGAGGGAGTCTACTGTAGTTAGTTGTTCATGGATCAAGACTTAATTTATTTAGAGTTTTTGCTGTCTGTGTCTAACATCAAGGCTTATTTTATGCCTGGCTGCAGTTGCTGCTTGTCTGGCTGCTGACTGATTTGGTCATACGGCAGTGACATAGTCCCCTTAAAACTCACACATGAGGTTGGTGAGGGAGGGGGGGGGGTTTGGGGATGAAAAGCTCATTGTTGAGGTTTGTCTTCTAGTAAAGATGGCAATTAATATTTAATGGCTGTAGTTTTACTAATTGAAATTTGGACCCTATCATATTAAAAAAATGGTTAACTAAATGTGTAAAATTGATGTGAAAACGTTGTTGGCCTACTCATTTTCTAAATAAGTTCATATTTAAGGAAGGGAGAGGTGTTTCTCGTGTTATTTGTTGAGTTAAAAGAACAAAATGAGTTTTTCAACTACTTTTGTTTGTGACGCACGTGTTGAAACTAACTTGGAGCAAAATAAGAACACCTGTAAAAGGTATTCCAATTTAGCTGACAGGCTGTCAGCTATAATAAACTGAATTTATAAATTATAAACTGTTGTTTATAAGGAAATAACTGCATTGTGATTTAGGTAAGGAAGTTAAACAATTATTCATTTGGGTGAAAAAATCCGCAAAATTTGTGATTTTCAAAACAATTGACAAATTATGAATGTGGCAGGGGCAACAATATTTGTGATCTATGATAAAGACATGTTTGTAAATACAAGGGTGAATGTATACAGGGTGGCTGAAAAGTAACTTGCACCCCCTCCTTAACTTTTGAACCTTTTGAGATATTTGAAATCTGTTTGCGGCAACCTGTTTAGATATGAGGGGCTGCAATAATGATGGTTAATTAAAAAAAATTGCCCTTAGGTAGTAGGGGTTGGGGTTAGCTTAAAATTTTCAAACAGGAAGTATGGTCAAGTTTGGTTTCATTTTACAGGTCTTGACAAAACTAAACAATTATCATAAAGAAAATAGAAATCAAACCATTAATAACAAAATGACAGCTAAAAATGATTATTATCATGATTATTATGATTATTATATGGAAGACAATGGTTATTAAAAGTAATTTTGAACTGCCATTTTGCTTTTAGTGGTCCAATTTCTGTTTTTTTTATGTTGATTGTTTAGTTTTCTCAAGACCTGTAAAATGATACCAAACTCGACCATACTACTTGTTATTTGAAAATTTGAGCTACCCCCTACTCACGCTACCCAGCACAGATTTCAAACGCATTTGAAACAGATTTCAAATATCTCAAATGGTTGAAAAGTTAAGCCCTCTTAACTTTTCAACCCCCCCCGGTGCAAGTTACTTTCCCTGTTTAGTATTTAGTAGTTTATGTTTGTCCGTTTTAGCGAATTTCCCTATAGGGAAGTAGCTATTACCGTAGGTCTCATGGTAAGACTTAGGCCCGGGACCGATTTACTTTTTCATTTTAATGTCCCCAGAGGCCAAAAACACCATTCGTTCAAATTTTTATATATGTATAGAGAATTTATTTATTGACAATTTATAAATTGAAAAATATACTAAAGGAATTAATTTAAATTACTGTATACAGGTTTTAATTAATTCAGATTTAATTGGAGTTAATAAAAAATAATAGCCAGGTAAAAAAAATTAATATGCTTTAACAAAAAAAAAGAAAAAATACTTTAAAAAATAAACGTTACGTACAACTAGACAATCCTCAATTACTATGTTTAGTAGTTTAACCTCGGCCATAGCAAATGTTATAGAACTTCAATTAAAACACCAAGTGGAACGTTTTGACATTTAATAAACTGCACTTTAATTTTGTTTTAAATATTGTTGGTTAAACACACCAAGCACCGTAGGCTGTATTAACACATACACAGTTCCGACTGATATTAGAGCAGTAAGTCGGAGTGTAAGGGAAGTAACATCAAGCCACAAGGTGGGTATCTCTACCTTTGGTTTCATAATATCAAACTACCTTTACAAAATAAATTCCACAAAGTGAATGGAAATTATTTGTTTTTTAATAAACCACTCATACGATATATTTTTTAACTTTGAAACATTTAGAACATTTAAAAAATAATTTTAACAGCTTGTTATTGGTTCAGCTATAATCTTTGTTATTTTGACAACGCGTAAAGATTTACAGCGTAAAATGGGTTTACTGTATTTCTGAAGAGTTTCTCCGAAATCTTAATAGAAACTCTTTCGATTTTCTTATTATACCGCTTCAGTATGCCCGACTAGGTCCTATTAAATGTGTTATTGGATTATACAGTATATTAAATCTTTTACCAATAGATTTAATAGGTATAGATTTGGATCAAAAATTAACTTACTCCTTTGGTTGATTTCATAAATTTCCGTCATAAATGAAGACAGTACTTCAAAATATTCACACGTATAATTGAATAATGAATAATGTCCCAACCCGAACATAGAGGGTTCAAACTCTAAGCTTAGTCGCCATATTGGAAAATGGGGGTCATTTTTTAAAAGTGAAATTTAAGGTTAGGGATTTTATGACTGTTTTAGGATGTGGATTTAATTTTTACGACTTATACATTAGTTGCATTATCCCTCCAAACCTAATTGGATGGTAGTAGGATGCAGAATGTACAAGCATTTTCTCAGGTGGAACCCGCTGTAACCCCCAAAAATGTAGCTTTAGAGGAAAAATTCGAATTAGTGCGGTGCGGGGTTGGTCACTTACTTTAATACTTTACTTTGGAACATATAATGGTTATTCCAAGTGTGAATGGAGAAGAGTGTAGAATGCATCTTGTAGTCTTGTTACTGACTAAAGCTGACATGTTCCATGGACAGGACTTTAAAATAATAGTCGATACAGCCAATGCCAACTAAGGAACCTACAGTCCTATAGTGGATTCCGAAACACATGTTTGCCTTGTAATTTATGAATTCGTCTAAATATCAGGATAGTAACGCAGATTGTACTCACTAGTGCGGACGTTATTCCACACCAGGGAGTATCGCGTCCACAAACCACGCCTATTAATAACAATTGGTGACCTCCAAGTAGCTGGATTACAGGATGATGCCACGGTCTCAGTCATACTAGTAATAGGAGTAAACTGAATAATACAGTGAGTATTGGCTATGTCACCTAAATAATCTGGTAATTAATGCCTACCTAACCTGATTAAATGTTGGACTACTTGATGGAGATACACAAAACCTATTACTGTTAAGAAATTCCACCATTTAGTCTTTTGGAGTATAACGTCATAAAATGCATTTGCCCATATAGACTACAGATCTGTTAGTGAAACTTATTCATCAAAGCAATTGGTGAGCCACTAAGGTTAACTGTACTGATAAAAAGTAATGGCAGATATCACGATCCAAACCCACGACATCGTTTCCCTGGGCCCGAAGTCCGTGGTGTTACCAACTGAGCCACCGACTCACTAACATGAGGCATATTACTTAAGTAGATAAAATTACAAAACAACATGCACAAGAACAGACTCATACAAACTCTTAGAATGGATAACATTAAAATAAAACTCATAGGAAAGCAAAAATTGCATACGAAAAATCGATTTAAAACCATTTGGTTCTGGTCCACAATCTACTGTACAATTTCTAGTTCTGTTAAAGATATTGTAACCTATTTAGACAGAAAATTAAGTCTCCTTGATCTTAGGGACAACTTGAAATTACGTTTTCAGAACTTTGAACGATATCCTCACCAGGAAATATTGTCATAAATGAGCAGCTAAGGGACAAATCAAATAATTTATACCTTTTTTAAAAAGGTATATTTGCTGCAGGGTTAGGGAATGTTTTATTGTACTAAACCGAATAACCTCGTAAATCGTGTTTCGAGAACCATTATTAACTTACTTATTAAAACCACGTACTAAACAAAAAAAGTCTTATAAAAAAGTCAACCACCATAAATGCTTTCATAAATTTTTATCACACTAGTCCCAAGCAATTATATTGTAATCGTATAGTTGGCCTGGCTACAATGTACATATTCACATATTTCATTACCCTGGAAACCATTTTTTTGTTACACCTGAATTCAACTGAAAAGGTTTAACTTGTGTTCTGACAATTAATCAACCTTAGTTGAATAACAAGAACACTTAACTTCTGCATAGAATCCAAGAAGCTTCATTTAGAAGCGTCTACTTAGGAGCTTCCACAGAAGCTTCATTGAGAAGAGTTAGCCTTCAACAAACAGTTAGACAACAAAAAGTTAGAAGCGTTCCAAAGCAGCTTCAATTAGAAGAGTTAGCCTTCAACAAACAGTTAGACAACAAAAAGTTAGAAGCGTTCCACAGAAGCTTCATTTAGAAGAGTTAGCCTTCAACAAACAGTTAGACAGCAAAAAGTTAGAAGCGTTCCACAGAAGCTTCATTTAGAAGAGTTAGCCTTCAACAAACAGTTAGACAACAAAAAGTTAGAAGCGTTCCACAGAAGCTTCATTTAGAAGAGTTAGCCTTCTTAGAAGCGTTCCAAAGCAGCTTCAATTAGAAGCCTTAGTCTACTTACAAGTCTTCCACAGAAGCTTAACTCAGAAGTGTGAAAAAGAAGCGTTCCGAAAAAGTGACATAAGAAGTTAGCCTACTCCGCTAGACAACCTTCCTATCCCTTAGACCAGCATCTCCACCTTTTGAAATGGACGCCCTAAGGAGGGCTTGGTAAGTACTATTTTCTGGCTCTATTATGCACAACAGTAGTTGTAGATCTAGTACGGAGAGTTCTTAGTTTTTTTAATTATTGAAAAAATAGGTTTTATACCACGTTTACTTATTAAGCTAAAAATACCTTACAGATTCTAACGTAATCCAATCAGTAGCCATTGACTGTAAAACAATGTACTAAACAATCTTTGTTTCCAAGTACGTTTGGTAAAACTGTATTACAATTAGAAAATTTGGTATGTTTCTTCAGGGAGGAGCATGGTGCCCTGTTGGCCGTAGGGGGGCTGGGGGCCGTTGTCACTGTGGTGTCGGTGGGTATCTGGCTGTGGGGTAGGTGGAACGACGACCCACCGGCACCATCCCCCCCGAGATACTCGAGCCGGTTGTTGATGACCCCACCACCTACCACTCCACAACGGGAAGTCACATTAGCTGTAATAGATCTGGACTGAAATTCATCAATTTGGAAACAATTTGTTAATCAAAATATCAATAAATTTTTGTGATTTTAAGGGAGTTTTTTTATAGCTTCTAAACAGTTTTTTTTACAAACACATCATTTGCCATTGGCTTAAACCACTGGCTTTCACATTCGTCAGGTATACCCTCTTCATAATTTTGGAATACGTAGAATAGGGTAAGGCAGTGCTTTATATTATACTAGGCGTTTAAAAAAGTTAGGGACATAGTTCAAGTAGAGATGCTTTGGGTGAATATAATCAAAATGTTTATTTGGAAATATGTCATGATGCGTTTTGTTTAGCCTCTTTCTGTCCGTATACGTTTTTTTACCAAAACATTCATGAATCCTGATGGTTTGAACTACATTGTTGAGATTCTATAACATAATTTGACCGAATTTTTATTTTATCTTTGCGTCAAACTATGAGAATAAAACAATCTTAAACCACTTAAATATTGTGGTTATTTCAAATAGTTGATGCTGAATTTCACAAACTTCGGTCAAATTTAGTAAATTCTATGGATATAACAACGATATCTTAATAAGCTTAGTTAGGTATAAAAAAACCTCAAGAGGAGTTTTTAAACCTTTTTCCCTTGTATTTTATCAACGGTTATTTTAGGGTTTTTTAATAACCGTTTTATACTATTTTATGAAAATAATATATTAAAATATTGCATGTATTATAAATGAGCCATGACTAATTCCACCGGGCGAATGTCATGACTCATATTCAATGGTTCAAGTGTTTTTAGCGAATTTCCCATAAGGGAATAAGCTATTACCGTAGTACTCATGGTAAGACCTGGACCCGGGACCGATTTACTTTTTCGTTTTGAAGTCCCTAGAGGCCAAAAAAACCATCCGTTCAAATTCATATTTATATATATATATATATATATATATATTTATATATGTGTCCGTTAGCGCGATAACTCGAGCAAAAATCATCCGATTTTGATGAAATTTGGTACAAATGTGTAAAACTACGTTTATTCGAACGAGTTCGCGAACCAGCATGATCAGACTATGGGAACAGGGGTTTATGGGGGGTTTTATGGGGTAAAAATTGGTTTTTCCCATTTTTGAACCTAAAACCTTAAAATTTAGCAATTTCTTTTCAAACCATTTTGTAGAGCTTAAAAAAACAAATTATTTAGTATATTGAAGCGTTATTATGCACCTAATGGTTATGGAGAAAGTTCCAAAAATCGGTCAATTTAAAATTCCCATGTTATTCTTATGGAGAATAAGTAAACTGTTGTAGTTTGCTTGTTTATGCACATATTTTGATCAAATTTGGAAAATGTATTCATTTCATACTAAACTATGAATATTTTACAAAAAAAACACCTTTTTACCCTCCCTGTTGCAGCAAACCTAAGTACTTGTTAAACTAATGTTATTTAAATAGGGAATAAATGTGACATTTTTTAGGAGACATTTTAGTGTAAATCCGATCAGGCAAATGGAAATTCGCTTAGTCTGCAGGTTTGCTGCGGCGGGGGTATTTTAGTATTTAGAGAATGCCGGACCGCTCAGGCCACACCTTTTTAGTTTTTACTGCCACTAAACATAAATGCTCCCACCTAACTCAATAGAACTGGGAACTCTCAGCGGCTGCTGTCGTACACAAAACCAACTTAATGTTCTATTCATGTTCCTATTCCTTACAATGAATGAAGCAATATAACTGCAGTGTAGTTAAACTACACTAGACGCCACTAGACGTTTGGATATGTCGTGTGTAGTAGACCTTAATTGGAGACATGTAGAATATGTTATAGATGTTCAAAGACTTAAAAAGCTTTTAAATACCTGTTAGATTCAGTGGTGTAGTGGAGCAGGAATGTGTGGGAACGGGTTCCTACTCAGCGTTTTACAAAGAACCTATTGATAGGGGATTCATATTTTTTCTACAGTGATAGTGAGTGTTCTCTCACGGGAAAATTTACCTCAACACCACTGATTGGATTGTTTTGTATATGTACAAAGGTCATAAATCCATGACTCAGAATGAATTAAAATTATTTTACAGTTTGTTGAAATTATTTTGTTGAAAAACACAGATATCTAATTATTGATGTTTTTAGGACCTTGACGTTTTGATGAATGATTTTCTGAAAGACAGTGCAAACCCTAACAGTGATGTAAAGGTGAAGTCTGAGATGGACTCTGAAGAATCTGAAGAAAATGATCAAGACTCACCAATGGCTCAGGAAACTGAAGATCTGTCAGACAAGGATGTTTTTACACCTCAGGTTGGTTTCAATAATATTTTTAATATCTATTTTTTAAAGAAATCACCTCTAGCTTTGACTGAAGACATTTTGGCAACTAAAGTCAATTTTTGCAATAGAAACACAATAAATTTAATTTACAAGGTTGACAAAAAGTAAAGTCACCAACAAGCTCTGTTGCCGAAAAGCAGGATGGTTCAAATATGACAGTAGTGCTGTGATCTTTACTTTGTCCACTACCAAGGCCACACTAAATAAACAGGACGTAATGCTCCTATGGAATGACGTCATTGGAGGCGACAGCAATGACGTAATTTTTGCAGTTTGTGATCAGCTGCTTGTTTTAATATTTTCTTGGAAAACAAAAATATAACAAAAAAATAACATTACATCATTGCCTGAAGAGCATTACGGCCTGTTAATTAATTTTGTGTTGCCTTGCCACTACTATGCTAGCCGGTTCTCATTTGTATGCAACAAGTAGACTCATTACAGTAGCCAAAAACGATATCAGGTTAACCCTGCTAGTATGAATCGGGTTCTGTGATTGACTTTTTTTAATAGGCTCACACCTGGTGAAACACATAATTTACAGTTCAGACATGCGTTTTTACTGTTTTTAGAAAAGTGTTTGGACAAAAAAAGTTGTGTAAATGTGAGTTTGCTCATCATACACCTTTGCACTGCGAGGCCAACAACAGGCATTATTTAGTTTCCATCAAGACAGTGATTTAGTTGAGAAAAATGTGTTTGCTAATCTGTGTGTTCATGACAAAAGGTTTACTCTTGTAGATATGTTTTCTATCAGATCGAAGATTTCCTGCTCAGTCACACTGACATCTGCATACAAAATATCCGTAAAAATCAGATGATGAACTGCAGGTGGCCAACACCATGGGAACATTTTTAAACGTCCAAACAACGCCCACCTCCGAACTTCCTCTACCTCTTACACATATTGTCTAAATCCAAACACTTTTCTTCAATCATCAATTACTTCTTCTCCAATACTGAATTAACATTGAAACATTTCCAGGAGATTGTTGAATCTGAAAGTAACAGTAGCAAGAGTCATTCCTCATATAGAAGGAATCCCAGAAGGAATGCCACAAGAAGCAAGACACCACCAGTAGTAGCAGCCACATCAAAGGTAAGCCAAACCCATCTGTAATGACCGTGACAGATATTGTAATGGTGAGTCATTGAATGCCGAGTTGTCATTAGTCTTTCCAAGGCTAATATTGGTGGTAATCTATACCTCAGGAGTAATTCGAGCTTTTTGAATTATCCTACAGCTGTTCATCCCATAATCATGAAACGTTCTGGTTTTGTTCATTGTGTGTCTTCTTTGGTCTAAAATTGGAATGGCATCCGATTGTACTGCGGGTTGTTGGCAATGTTGAGTAATCCTTTCTTGGTGAAGGGGCAGCTATTGGTGGTATCTCTGAACCATCATCAGACTTAAAAGAAGTACTTAAGGGTTTGCGGACCAGACTTTTTACAATAGGTCGGGTCAAATTGGCTAAAAAGTTAAGGCCTCGGGTCTTAAGCCAATATTAGATTGATTTGGGAAATATCACTTGCGAAAGCCGCTAAAATACAAGCATTCAGATTCTCAAGGATCACTTTTACTCCTTAGGGTCAGCTGGAGACTGGACATAAGCTGTAATGTTTTTTTGACTTGTTAACTTTTAATAATAATAATAATAAAAATAACTAAGGGAAGGTGTTCAGTAGAATATTTGTATAGATTGTAAGCAATCAAATTAAGGTAGAAAATAGAATTTTAGACATTAGCATAATCTGTGACTGGCTTACACAACTATGTTCTTTGATGGGGATACACAAAAATTGGCAACAGCTGGTCCATTAGTTATAGATGAGATATCTACCCAAGGCTCCACTAGAAAAACAGGCCATGCTGCAGTGCGAGCAGCGCAACACTACGTCACAGTGGTAAATAGATGTATCAAAATCTTACCGCTAAAATCTGACAAACAGCCAGCTTATTTAACAAAAAAACATATTGGATATTCCAGTGAATCCATGAACAAATCTATCAACTAGTGTGACATCATGGATCCTGCAGCTTGGCCTTTTTTCCAGTGGGGCCTAGGTCTACCTCACTATCTAATAGTCAATGTCAAAATGTAACAAAACTATAGAGACAACTGTTGTATTCGAGGAAACTATACTTTATTTACTTTGAATCTCACAAGACAAGTGACGAGGATTAATAGGTTTGAATCGCGTAAAGCCTAAGAAATACAGGACAGTTTTCTATCGCAGAAAGGATTGAGTTTTAAACAGCAACTTGCTAGCCAAGCCACAGTTCATCCATTATTTTAAGTTCCATAACACTAAATTAAATGTAATATTTCCAGGTAATTGTTGAATCTGAAAGGAAGAAAAGCAAGAGGCGTGATAAAAGTATAAATGTCAGAAGAAATACCACAAGAACTACATCACCAGCTGTAGCAGCCACATCAAATGAAAACCAAACACCATCCATAGATTCAGACACCGAAGTGGTAAGAAATCATGTTCAGTAGTCATAGTGTCCAAATACAGTCTAGCCTAAATTAAGGTCTTAAACATCTATCCATAGTCTTAAACTATGGACACATTACTTCAGGTCTAGCCTGAAGTAATGTGTAAAACGATTTTGGGCTCGTGCCTAGCTTCCTAGAAAAAAAAGGTAATGGAGGACACCACATGATAGCTATTCTCCTTTATTGCCCACTAGGCAATAGAGGAAAACACATGTCATTGTACCCACTAGGCAATAAGGTAAACCTATTATAGTTACTGTACCCACTGGTTAATAAAGAATCACTCATGATACTACTGTACCCACTAGGTAATAGAAAACTGTACATGGATGCAGGTACATATGATAGCTACCTAGCACACAATAGCTAACGCACCCACTAGGCAATGGAGGAAGACACATGATAGCTAATGTACCCACTAGGCAATAGGTAAACCTATGATAGCTACTGTACCGTCTAGGCTATGTAGGTAAACCTACAATAGCTACTGTAAAACGTATGATAGCTACTGTACCCACTAGACAATGGATGAAAACCTACAATAGCTTATGTACCCTCTAGGCAATGGAGCTAATCACGATAACTCCTGTACCCACTAGGCAATGTAGAAAAACCTATCATAGCTACTGTGCCCACTAGGCAATGAAGGCAAACCTATCATAGCTACTTTACCCACTAGGCAATGGAGGTGAACCTATGATAGCTACTGTACCCACTAGGAAATGGATGAAAACCTATTAAAGCTACTGTGCCCACTAGGCAATGGAGGCAAACCTATCATAGCTACTTTACCCACTAGGCAATGGAGGTGAACCTATGATAGCTACTGTACCCACTAGACAACGGAAGTAAACCTATGATAGCTACTGTACCCACTAGGTAATAGGTAAACATATGATAGCTACTGTACCCACTAGGCAATGGATGAAAACCTATTAAAGCTACTGTGCCCACTGGGCAATGGAGGCAAACCTATCATAGCTACTTTACCCACTAGGCAATGGAGGTGAACCTATGATAGCTGTACCCACTTGGTAATGGAGGTAAACCTATGATAGCTACTGTACCCACTAGACAATAGATGAAAACCTACGATAGTTTATGTACCCTCTAGGCAATGGAGGCAAACCTATCATTGCTACTTTACCCACTAGGCAATGGAGGTGAACCTGTGATAGCTACTGTACCCACTAGGCAATGGAAGTAAACCTATGATAGCTACTGTACCCACTAGGCAATCGGTAAACATATGATAGCTACTGTGCCCACTAGGCAATGGATGAAAACCTATTAAAGCTACTGTGTCCACTAGGCAATGGAGGCAAACCTATCATAGCTACTTTACCCACTTGGCAATGGAGGTGAACCTATGATAGCTACTGTACCCACTTGGTAATGGAGGTAAACCTATGATAGCTACTGTACCCACTAGGCAATGGAAGTAAACCTATGATAGCTACTGTACCCACTAGGTAATAGGTAAACACATGATAGCTACTGTACCCACTAGGCAATGGATGTAAACCTATGATAGCTTCTGTACCCACTAGGCAATGGAGGAAAACACATGATAGCTACTGTACCCACTAGGTAAAGGGCACATGATAGCTACTGTACCCACTAGGCAATGGAATTAAACCTATGATAGCTACTGCACTCACTAGACAATGGATGAAAACCTACGATAGCTACTGTACCCACTAGGTAATAAAGTAAAACACATAGCTACTGTACCTACTAGGTAATAAAGTTAAACACATAGCTACTGTACCCACTAGGCAATGGAGATAATTACATTTTAGCGACCTTACTCACAGGACAATGTGGAGTCAAATACATAATACTAGGGCTGGTTTTTTAAGTATGAGCCGTTTTTGCGTATAAAGCTCCGTAGGTGTATAGGCTAAAACGTGGGTCATCGCCGCTTACTGTCATCATTTGTGAACAGAATGACACCTTTTGCAGCTCTGTAGCTAACAAGTACTCTTTGCTTCAAAGACATTCGACTTAAGAACCCATGTCAAACAACACTAGGCTGTCCATGGAATCGGAATCACAAGTGTGTTGTCTGTGGATTTTAGAGAAGGGAGAGTCTCATGAAGAGAAGATAATGAAGAGTTTAAGTGTGTTGTCTGTAAGAAGTTTTTTTGCAAAGAAAACCCAACTGAACATTTATCTGTCAAATAAGTAATCAAATTATCGAGAGTAGGTATACAGTAGAATGTTTTTTTATAGATCGCAATCATTGACATGTGACACAACTACACTTTCCATCCTCATGTTAATGTTGTTGCCAGGTTTTAAATCAAAATCCTCGTAGTTGATGTGAGCCACCAACGATTGTGCTGATCTAAATTACTAATTTCTGTCAGATTGATACATTTTTTACCAAAGTTAAACTGATGTAACGACTTATTGTGAGCTATAGCAACTGTTATGTTATGACCCATCAACTACATCAGCAATAAGGTAGAAAATATAATTTTAGACACTATCACATTCTGTGACCGGCTTACAGAACTATGTTCTTTGTTGGGGATATACAAATATTGCTAGCTGGTCCATATAGATGGGATGTCTACTTCAGTATCCAATAGTCAATGTCGTAATGTAACAACTATAGATACGACTGTTTATTCGAGTAAACTATAGTTTATTTACTTTGAATCTCACAAGACAAGAGTTAACTAAAGAATAACAGGTTTGAGTTGTGTAAAGCCTAAAAAATACAGGACAGTTTACCAATGCACAAAGGATTGAGTTTTGATAAGCAACTTGTTAGCTAAGCCACAATTTATCCATTATTGTTCCAAAACACTAAATGAAATGTAATATTTCCAGGCAATTGTTGAATCTGAAAGGGACAGTAGCAAGAGGCGTGATAAAAGTATAAATGTCAGAAGAAATACCACAAGAACTACATCACCAGCTGTAGCAGCCACATCAAATGAAAACCAAACACCATCCATAGATTCAGACACCGAAGAGGTAAGACATCATGTTCAGTAGTCAAAGTGTCTTTAACCCTTACATTGCTAGAACTTGTTTGTAATTTTCTGAAAAAGCTAGAGTTATTTCTTATTTTTTCCTAAAAATTCTAGGCTTGCCACGGTGGCAAAGTCTAGTGTGCGAGGAAAGAAATCGGTAAAAATAGAATTTTTGATCCCAAAAGTGCTAAGGAATGATATATTTGGCCTCGATCGTATGAGAAATCGAAAGAAATCATCGCTGTTTCAAAACAACAACCAAATCAACCGATATGCCCATTAATACTCACACAATCGAAATTCGTGCCAGCACGATATATTGTCGCATAGCAGTTTAGCACTATTCTAATGAAACGCTAATAACAATATATCGCTCTATAGCAATGAAAGGGTTAACTGTAAGCTTGTAGTAGATTGTCATTTATTCCTAGTGTCTTAAAATTGAGAAAACTCGCAAAGAAATGGGAACCTGCTGATGTTTTTTTTTGTTGTTGTTGGAAATATAAATGTTGTGTAAAAATGCATGGTAAAATAGCCTCTAAACGAGTGAATTTAAGCTATAATTGTTTAAATACATTTCTCCATTAAGTAATGGGGTGTTATAAGTACCTACACTACTTGTCATGCGGTCACAAGTCTGCCAATTGTAGCGAACAAAGAAGTAAACAAATAATCTTATTTCTAAATAATTAAAATAAATCTGTTAATGATCATACAATACTTCATCATATGATCTAATTCTTTAAACCTGGTTACAAGCGATCTTGTGTCTCTCCACCCTCTTTTTCTTTACTGTCCATGTGCTGATTATTACACTTGAAACCCTTCCTATCAGAAATTGCTCAGTCAGCAAGCTTAAGAGGTTGGCGGCCTCTTTTAACCTTGCATATGCCCGTCCACATAAACTTACTGCCCGTGTCTGGAACTTATTCAGCAAAGCAAGGGGTGAGCCGGTACAGGACAAAGGTGAACTGTACTGATAAAATGTTTACGCCAATGACCAGGATCTGAACCCTTGACATCGCTGCCTTGGGCCCGAAGTCCGTGCTGCTACCGACAGAGCCACTGACTCACCAAACGTATCTTACTCTCAGCAACGCCAAAAAAATCAAGCCGAGAGAGAGTTTCTATGATATAATAAGGAATGACCTTATTAAATGATATCATTCTAAAAGTGTGCACGTTTTTCGTACTGGGATCTTATACAATAGGCCTAGTCAGATGAAACCTTATTATATTCAAAACAGCAATTTGTTTGCATTTCAAGTTAAGTTTTTCCAGATATGCCGGAAAATCATAAGATTTTGTATAAATATACCTAACCATGAAAAACACAATGTCATACACGTTTAAGGCAAACCAAATGTTTCACAAATAAATGTTGACATTTATTATTTTTATTATTTTATATACGACGAGAAAAATAAAACAGCAGCTTTATAGATCTTTGAGACATAGCCCTGAGGGAAAACTAAAAGCTACTTTCCCCTGGTTAAAAAAGTAGTTAAATACTGCCTCACTAATGCACACTTAACACTTGACATTTTCATCAACAACAACGGACGCTCTTGCCCGTGAAACGCTGAGAAATAAGGTCCACTAAAGCAGCTGTTCTCAAAATTCATCTACTCAAGAACACCCGTAAATAATTATGTATGTAATGCATCACCTGACTAATAATACATGCCTATCACCTGACTCCCCCCCCCTTGATAACGCCTAATTTTTTTATTTAAAATTTATTATTTTAAAAGATGGCATATTTACAATAAGGCAAGGTATTAAATAATTTCTTGATCAGCATTGTACAAGTTATCAAATTTACGGAAAGTAAATAAAACAAATTAATGTCTTATAACACTTAAAACATATATTTACGCTTATACTGTTACTCAAAAGACGGTAAATATACAAAAAAAGATGGTAAGTGGTGATTGATTTCGATTGGATTCGTTCGTCATTCAGTATATTGGATATGGGGTCTGTTGAAGATTGGAGTGTCCAATCGAAATCGATCACCACTTACCATCTTTTTAGCGAATTTCCCATATAGGGAATAAGCTATTACCGTAGTACTCATGGTAAGACCTGGACCCAGGACCGATTTTTTTTTTCGTTTTGAGGTCCCTAGAGGCCAAAAACACCATCCGTTCAAATTCATATATATATATATATATATATATATTTATATTTATATATATATATCCGTTAGCGCGATAACTCGAGCAAGAATGATCCGATTTTGATGAAATTTGGTGCAAACGTGTAAACCTACGTTTACTCGAACGAGTTCGCGAACCAGCATGATCGGACCATGGGAACGGGGGTTTATGGGGGCTTTTATGGGGTAAAAAGGGGTTTTCCCAATTTTGACCCAAAAAACATAAAATTTTGCAATTTCTCTCTAAACTATTTTGTAGAGCTTAAAAAAACAAATAATTTAGTATATTGAAGCGTTATAATGCGCCAAATGGTTACGGAGAAAATTCCAAAAAATTGTAAATTTAAAATTCCCATGTTATTCTTATGGAGAATAAGTAAACTGTTGTAGTTTGCTTGTTTATTAACATATTTTGCCCAAATTTGGAAAATGTTTTTATTTCTTACTAACTATTAACATTTTACATAAAAATCACTTTTACCCTCCATGTTGCAGCAAACCTAATTATGTTTTAAACTGATTCTATTTAAATAGGGAATAAATGTGATAAATGTGTGTTCAAGGAGACATTTTAGTGTAAATCCATTCAGGGAAATGGAAATTCGCTTAGTCTGCAGGTTTGCTGCGGCGGGGGTATTTGTATATGTATTTACCGTCTTGTGAGTAACAGTATAAGCACAAATACATGTTTTAAGTGTTATAAGACTTTTGTTTTATTTACTTTCCGTAGCAGGTATTGTCTGATATATCTGTACTATAATATGAGTAACATTTTCACACAATGATTTCAAAAACAGCTCCTATGATTTCCTCCTAATTGTTAGAAATATCTTAGTTTTAGGCTAAAACAATATCCATGCTAGGTCTCTTTCTGGGAAAATTAGTTTTTCGCTAAATTTTAATATTTTTAAAATTAGCTTTATTGACTGTCGAGTAACTATGGCAGTTTTGCAAAAATGTAAATTAATGAATTGTAACATGCTTGTAACAAAATATCTACAGTACAGTAGAAGTTTACTAAATACAGTATAATAGGGAAGATCATTCTTATGAATGTTATTAAGCATTGACTTACATAGACTTGGGGTGTACGATTATTAGTAAGCAATGGGGTAATTACAACTGTTTCGGGGGAGCGAGCTGGTCTAGTGGTTAGAGCGCGGGACTCCGGTTCCTGGGGTACCGGGTTCAAATCCTGCCAAATCATCAATGGATTTTACATTACACTATTGACATTATACAACTACAACTATACACATTATACACTAACACTGAACTAAAAGTCTCGAGGAAAATCCAAGAATGTTTTGTAGTTTTCAACAGTGCACCGGCTGAATGGGCACATGCAAGGCCGCACTAGATATACAGGCCGTGCTGCTACTTGTGTGACGTCACAACTGTAGGCGGTCTCGCGGCCGCTACACACATAGGCGCTTATACGTTTTTACGACTGCAGTTAGTTCCCACTGTGATTTGAACAATTAAATGAAGTCGTATTATAATATAATTTTGCAGTAATGTTTTATGTTGGTGTAGCGTAGTGACTAGCTAGTTTTTTTTTTTAATTCGTGTAATAATGTTTGTGTATTTCTATAATAACAAAACATATTTTACTAGTTAGGCTACTATTTGATGCAAAAGTATGTAATATCATTGTTTTCATTACTGTATATGCATATTATTTAGTACACTGCTATAATAAAGTTGAATATGGATAATGGTGAATAAAAAAACAATTTCAGTCTTAACTTGTTTTTAATCTGTACAAAACAATCTTTAATCAACACTTATTACAAAGCTTATCTAGCTTACGTTTTTTGGTACACTTCTTTCCTTCCTCGATTATTCGTTGTTTTTTCATTTTACTATAATTATTCAGTAAAATATTACAGAATGTTAATAAACATTTTTTAAACAATGGGGTTATATCTATACCACAAGAAAGACATACCTCAACATTTATGCTGTCGAGAACATGGTACATTACCGACATTAGTACCTTTCTCTGACATTTGCTCTTCAAAAATGTACTTTCATATCTTTCACCAATCATAATTTTAAAACCCTTCAAACCAGTAATCAATGTATTTATGATGAGGTCAGAGGGATATTGTAAATTGCCCCTATCTATCACGGTAAAATAATAAGACATTGTAGGCCTATGTGAGTTGAGGATTGTTTGCTTATCGATTAAAACAAATTTAGGTTTACAACAGTTACATTGAACATTTTTTAACAATTTATGGCAAATGTACCCTCCTATGTAGGTAATACCAACAACATCATTTTCGGAAATATCAGCACTTTCTAACTCATGAGAAATGTCTTCAAATTCTGAAACATAAAAAAAAGGTTTGTTTCCCCTTGTGGTCCCTCAGTTTCTTCTACACTAAAATCCCTTATCTCTACTTCCCGATTTTTAGCAGAAAATACCTTTATAATGCTAAGAGTTTTAAGCTTCTTTTCTGATTCGAGTACTTGTGCAACAGATATATTGTAACTAGCACCACTCATTTGACGATACTGTCCAAACCTAGCCTCTAAATCGTCTGTTTGGAACTTTCCTAGCAACACATACTTAAAGTGTAAAGAATTAAATAAACATTCTACAATTTCTAAAACTGTACTGACGGCATGTTTAAGTGCAAACTGTGTGTCAAGTGTGAGTTTTCCATTTCTTTTTTTATTATTTGCTAACTCTCCTTGGACCACAATATTATTCCATTTCTCTAACCAGACTAGAAATGATCTTAGAAATAACATATTCTCATGATCTACAGTGTTTATTGGTTGGCAATCTCTATTTTAAATAAACCATGACTTTTGTAACAATGATGAAT